CCATTTTACCCATTTATTGAGACCCTGTGATTAGTGCTAATATTCTAAAATTAAACTTACATGATAACACGTTTATAGGTCAGCTTAAAAATATATATATATCATTTGGTCTTGCTGGAACTTGTGAACCTGATTTCCAAAATTAGGCCTTTTCTTCTGACTAGAAGAGGATACATTGCAGATGAGTTTCGCAGCTGTCCTGTCCTGTCAGCACTTCTGCTCCTTGCTGTGGGGAGCGCAGGATGTTGTTGCTGGAGAGCCAGGCGTCATCCAGTTCCTCCCGAGGCACCACTTTCCTTCTTTACACAAAACAACAGCCTACCCCTAATGGTGCTGACAACACATGAGATTCCATTGACTGTTCTTTCTGCCCTCCTCTGCTTATTTTTATTCATTTGGCTACTTTACTAGTATTTTAGGGATTCGCTGAGCTTGTTTTGGCCATGGCAAAACTTTCTGTTTTGTTTTTGGCTGCACGGCTTTCATGTGGACGCTTCAAGTGAAAGAAGGGACACGGGAAGACATGGTTCAGGTTCTGGTTTGCTGCCTGGCTGTGTTTGCAGAGCTGTGGTGTGCCTCACGTCCCAAGGCAGGGTGAGACCCTGGGAAGGGTTTGCAGCAGGAAGGACAGTGTCCAACGTGGGGTGAGTAGAAAAAGCAAGGCACCAATGACACATCCCTTCTCTGGAGAAAATATTAGGGACCTGGTCAAAGACCACTTACTTTAGTGCAGAGCTCTGGGGTCATGTAATGTCTCCTGAGCAAGCATCTGAAATGTAGCCCTAATTTTTTTTTTTTTTCACAAGAGATACAGGAACAACTGAGCTCCCTGTATTACAGTGCTATGAATACCGGGCTTTGGTGTCTTATCTACTGGTTTAAGCTCTTGCTTCTGCCATTTAGTAGCATTACAGAACCAGAGTCGTTCTGTAATGCTACTTTTGCTTCAGAAGGCAAAAACTCCGAACATTAGGGTTTGGAGTAAGGAAAAGTTTCCTAATGGAGAAGGCACCAACTGAGCAGATGTGAGACCTAATGGTGCCTCAAATGCATCTTATTCTCTGGATGAGGCCACGATTTTTAAGGGGCCAGGGAATCGGGGATAAGCAAATGCTGGTGTGGCAAGTTTCTTTTTAAGTTTTATACACACACACACACACACACAAAGTTTTTATTGATTTGAGAGAGAGAGAGGAAGGGAGATGGGTAGAGAGAGGGAAACATCAATGAAAGAGAACCATCGATTAGTTGCCTCCTACACACCCCCTACTGGGGATGGAGCCTCCATCCTGGGCATGTGCTCTTACTAGGAATCGAACCAGTGACCTCTCCAGATATGGGATGACACTCATCCCACTGACCCACATCGGACAGGGTGGGGGCAAGTTTTAATTGGAGGATTTTGGAACTTGGTCATTTATGGTAAAGGGGCATCATCAACATGGGATCAGTGTACCCTTGGATTCTGAAGTTGTTCCTGTTTATGTCTGAGTCCTTTGGTTTTGTGTGTGTGTGTGTGTGTGTGTGTGTGTGTGTGTGTCTGTGCAGGCTTCAGCTGCCTGACCCGAAGTCCTGGCCCGCTGTCGAAAACATGTCAGCATCTGGTCAAACAGGATAGGGCTGGCTCTTCAATTACAGTAGCTGTGTCCTCAGGCATCTGGGAGTTATAACAGCATCTGCCTCACTAGGTAATGCTGAGTATTCAAGAAGGAAAAAGCCTAAATCTCCCTGATCACAGCCATTAACATGTAAAACTCCATTCCAAATCAGATTTTTGTTGCTCAGATTGCAACAAAAAGTAGTTGTGGAGAAGTTTAGAGGAAGAATCTAATTGTACAAAGGTTAACTCTGGTTGGCACAGGTTTCCTTTATCAAATTGAGATGCCTGGTGAGGAACTAGCCTGGTGTCCCAAATGGACCCTTCCTGGACTCCACCACTTGCTCTTAGAAAAGCGCCACCTGTTGGTGCATTTTTGTAGGAAAAGCTAAAAGGTTGGATTTTCTACTCATCCACATTCCCCCTCAAATACAGGGAATCAGCTGTATATCTAAGGAATCCTGATGCCTAAGTCACACACTAAAATTTCTGGCCATGGGCTCCAGGCCTCAGGGTTTATCAAAATCTTTCAAGTAATTCCAGTATGCCAACAAGATTGAGAAACACTAGGCAAATGTTTTATTTATTTATTTATTTATTTATTTATTTATTTATTTATTTATTTATTTATTTATTTATTTTTAAGGAAATTAACAAAATGCCAGTTTGTTAATATCACCATATATAAGAGCTCCTGCTTGAACTCTGTCCGCCTTATGCCATAGATTTGCCCTTTCCAAGGCCAAATGAGGGACACACATCTATGTGAGCATTGTGAACTGACTGTTCTCTTACAGTAGTCTTTAATTACTAACTAGGTCCTAAATTTCTCCTTCATCTTCTTAATTTTTTAGAAAGACAGGAAACAGACTTTTATTATTATTTCTCTGCTTTCAACTAACAGAAAACCTTTTGAACAAACATTTTTTCTACTACCTGTAATTGGATTATCCACTCTAGTTTATCAGTGTCAAAACATCTTAATCCAGATGGACTTCCTTTGGCCATATGTACAAGATAGTTTTAGTATTAAAGCATAGAAAGGTAAATGTGCTCAGCAGGCGCGACTAATCCTATCTCCTTAGAAGTTCTGACCAGCACTTACCATTGGACTCCTTTTTTCTCTTCCAATAATAAAGTTTACTGAGAATTAAATGATACTCAGAGATGAGAAGGGAAGAGTAAATCATGTATTGAAAAACCCATTCTAACCTCAGTGAAACACAGTCTTATATTTAGCATAACTAGCGATTTAAGCTAAAGTTTCTACTTATTATTCTTCCTATTGCCACTTCCAACATTTAGCCCATCAACTGCTATTGTTTCCAGTACTTTCCCCCCCAAAAAAACATCTATAATAATAAAAGCATAATATGCTAATTAGACCACACAGCTGAACAACCTTCCAGATGTTATTCCAGACATCCTTCCTGACGAAGCCATGGTGGTTGGGGCTGAGGCAGAGGTGGTTAGGTTGATCAGGCAGCGAGCAGTTAGGAGTGATCAGGCAGGCAGGCAAAATGGTTAGGGGCATCAGGCAGGCAGGTGAGCAGTTAGGGGCATCAGGCAGGTGGGCAGAGGGATTAGGGGAGATCGGGCATGCAGACAGAGGTGGTTAGGGTGATCAGACCAGCAGGCAGGTGAGTGGTTAAGAGCCAGTGGTCTCAGATTGGAAAGAGTGCAGGCCCGGCTGAGGGGAACCCCCTTGCATAAATTACGTGCACCAGGCCTCTATTAATGTTTATAACATTCTTACCTTCTGGGATTATGCACAGAATGTATTGACTTTATTTTTATTATGTTTTGGAGATTTCATTGCTGTACCTTTATAGCAATTTAGCTGCAGGGATACAACATTAAGGGCTATTCTGTATTTTTGTTGTTGAGTTGGTGATATTATACACCTTATATGTGTTTACATTGCATGGTAGACCAAGAGAACATTTGGCCAAGTGAACCCATTTTTACTGCAGGTCATATTGCAGACACAGTGCCAGTCTGTAATGGGTACAACTGATTTATCTCCTTCTTGTACATGGTGGGCATGCAGAAATCCTAGTGAATGAAATATTTGTTGCCCTAGCTGGTTTTGCTCAATGGGTAGAGCATAGGCCTGTGGACTGAAGGGTCCCGGGCACTATTCCGGTCAAGAGAACATGCCCAGATTGCAGGCTCGATCCCCAGTAGGTGGTGTGCAGGAGGCAGCCAATCAATGATTCTCTCTCATCATTTATGTTTCTTTCTCCTTTCCTCTCTGAAATCAATAAAAATATATTTTTTTAAAAAATTTTTGGCCAAAGCCAGTTTGGCTCAGTGGATAGAGCGTCGGCCTGTGAACTTAAATGTCCCGGGTTCGATTCTGGTCAAGGGTATGTACCTTGGTTGCGGGCACATTCCCAGTAGGGGGTGTGCAAGAGGCAGCTGATCAATCATTCTCTCTCATCGATGTTTCTAACTCTCTATCCCTCTCTTCCTCTCTGTAAAAAATCAATAAAATATATATATTTTAAAAAAGAAATATTTGTTTACCATCTACTATATGTTTGCTTGGGGAAGATATAAAAGTCATATTTTGAGAGAAAACACATGTTATAAATGCAAAATTGAAGAAATTAAGTGTGGTAGTTATATGTATTCTGATATATTAAAGGATACAGTTTTACATTTAACTTTGAAATAATTTTCAGATAGAGTGAAAAGTAAATATTGATTCAGTTACCCTTCTTTCTGGGTTGAATTTACAAATTAATATAGAGAGCTAAAACTATTTCAGTAATATTTTTGTTTTATCATATATATTGGGTTAATCTACACTAACAAAACAGAAACATGCAAATTAACCATCACTCCGCTACACTCACCAGCCAATCAGAACAAATATGCAAATAAACCCACCAAATATGGCAGTTAATTTGCATACACAAATGGAGTGAGGAGTGAAAACTGAAGACAGCATAGAAGGAAGAGGGAGGGAAAGTGGGAAGCAAGGCAGCTGTGGGAGGGAAAACACGGTGGGGGGCAGAGGCTGCAGGAGGGAAAGCTCAGGGTGGGGGGCAGAGGCAGTGGGAGGAAAAGTGCAGGGTGGTGGGTGGAGGGAAAACACGGGGGAGCAGTGTCTGCTGGAGGGAAAGTGCGGGGTGTGGGACAGAGGTGGCAGGGAAAGCGAGGGGGGGCGAGAGGGGTGGCGGTGGTGGGAGGGAAGCCTGTCAGAAGCCCTGTTCTTGCAGGAATCTTCCTGCAATGGGCTTCTAGTATGCTAATAAATGGAGATCATAACATCATATAATGTTGATCTCAGTGTAAGTTATAATGATTATTTTAAGAAAAAGGTATGATAGTTGATAAGATTGCGTTAGATAATGTTGAAGGTGTATTGACAAAATATTCTTTCCTTTTCTCATAGATTTATCTAAAAACAGACTGGTTGAAGTTCCAATGGAATTGTGCCACTTTGTATCACTGGAAATCCTTAATCTGTATCATAATTGTATCAGAGTCATTCCTGAGGCCATCGTTAATCTGCAGATGCTGACTTACTTAAACTTGAGGTAGGTTAACTATAAAGATTGTAGTAAAATTCAAGTGAAAATATGCTTTTATTTTTATCAAGTTCTTTTCTCTTTCCAATTGCTGATCACCTTTTGAAGTAAATCACACAAAGATCATTTAAGAACTATCTTCTATAATACATTTGTAGTGTCATTAATACTGTTTTTGGTCCTAGACTTTTTTAAATGTCAATATGACAAGATATTTTTGCTTTTTAAAAATAATTTATATGGTATGATTTCTACTTTTTTGCCAGGACTGATCAGCAGACTCTAAGTGATGGATGTATGATTTCTCTGACACAGGTTCGCTGTGAAAGAGCAAGCTAAGGGTCTGCCTGGCTAAAGGAAACAGACAGCCTCAATTACCTGCCTCTTTAGGCTTTTATTGTAACAGCAGTTTGAGATAAACTTTATCTTTTAGTAGGATCAGTAATCTTGGGGGAACACATGTGTCTGCAGTGCCCTTTAAGCAATGACACCTAAAGACTAAACAGAAAGATTCTGGTATACACCCAGGGACTCAGACTTGTTCAGAAAAGTAAAGGCAGGGTCTGCTACCTTCAGCAAGGTCCCTCTAAGGCCCCGGCCTTGTGCATATTCCTCCCTACAGACTTTACAACCAAGTCTCCCGTGCTCCCCCACACTTTTTTCCCTTTTAAAAATGTTTTTATTGATTTTAGAAAGATGGGAAAGGTGAGGAAGAGAGAAACATCTATGAGAGAGAAACATCGATTGGCTGCCTCCTGCATGCCCCCCACCGGGAATTGAGCACAACCCAGACATATGCCCTCAAACTGGTGACCTCTTGGTGCATTGGATGACATTCAATCACTGTGTCACACTGGCCAGGATACTTTTTGTCTCTTTGGTGCGTGGAATGTTGTTGGTATATTGTCTTCAGGTATTGATGTAGATTTTGGAGAAGGAAGATGAAAGGAAGTAAAAAAAAAAAAAAAAAAAAAAAAGAACATGAGATTTAGGACAAATTGGGGCCTTGATGGCCTTTGAGAATTCTTGGTGCCATTGTATTTGCTACCTAGTATCACTGAGCTTGTACACTTAACGGTCATCTGAGAAAGTTCGAAGGAACAGTGAGCAAATCCAGCAAGACAGAAAGTTTGCTGTCTTTATAGACCATTAAGTTAGTTCATTGTTTCCTGAGAATGGATCAGTGGTCTGTATTGACTCTCTAATTATGGACAATACAGTGTAACATATTAATGTCTTTGAATAGACCTTAAGTTAAGAAAAGCAGCTATTTTAAGGCATAGGTTTTAGACTTTGCTGCTGTGAATGCCAATTGTCCTAGCTAGATTTTGGCTCCTTGTCTTCTAACTCCTTGACTCACATTTGGAATGTTATGGGAGAGGGGGGAGCTCTTTTATCCAATCTACCTGTACTCTAAAAACGAGATTCCAAAGTTCAAGCCTGAGCATAGCTTTCACTCCATTGGTATCAGTTGCATTATCTTTATATCCAAAAGGTAGCACCTGATTAGCAAGGTTTGTGCTGTGTAACAAATATGCAAAGCTTAAAATGCAAAACTCCCAATGAACCAGGTATTGCATTAAATTGTGATAGATAATGTCAGTTAATTTTTAGTGGGATTTTTTTTGGCTCTTTTGGAGGGGAGAGTTGACCACTGAGAATTAGGGGTCTTCTGTTGCTCTGCTTTCTTTGCAATCCCCTTTGTTGTTCTTTTTTTCCCCATTGACCTCCCCCTTCACACCACACCCACCCCTCTTAAATCTTCACCAACTATTTTCTGTGTCTGTGGGTTATGCATATATGCATTTAAATTCCCTCCTTAATCTCTCCCCATCCACCCTGCCTTCCCTCTGAAATATGGCAATCTGATCCATGCTTCAGTGTCTCTGAATCTTGCAAGAATTTCGTGCACAGGGACTCTAGTAGAAAATAATAAAATAGGTGCTCAAGTTCCACCATTCCAATTTAACAATGTGATATTATTTAGTACTTTTAAAACATACATACATGTTGTCACACTGCACATAACCATTTGCAATAATTTTGACTTAATAGATATTAATGTCATTTTTTTCAAATCTCCCACCTTCCCATTCACACCATTGGACCTGGGATATTTATATTATCACACATACACACAAGGCATCGACTATTCTAATAGCAACTTCCCAGTAGTTATTTGCTTTTTCAGAAATTTGGAGTTTATTTTATTGTCACCAGTTGTTTTGGTTTATTTTTTTTTGTGTGTGTGTGCGTTTTCGTTGTTTTTTTTTTTTTTTTTTTTTAGAATAAACATCTTCGTTACATGTGCTAAGATAGGAGGGAAGAGGATTTATTTGCCTTTCTGGGCCTTGATTTTCCTCAATAGAACTCCAGGTCTTTGCCCTCTAACGCATATCCATTTGCTTGGACATGTTGGCCTGGTCTTGGAGCAATGCTTGCAAGAAGCTGGCCCTGCTGGAACTGCCCCTCTGGAAGACTGCTGATTTTGTCATCCTTTTTTCTTTCAGCAGATTTCTTCTGAATTTTCTTTGAACATTTTTTGTTTAAAATCTCTTCCTCCTTAGGAGTCAGCTTGACCCCCTTCTTGTAGCACAAGGGCAGTGCCTAGTGGGACTCATACCACTGTAGGCATAGTGTGCTGTCAATGAGCACAGTGCAGTTCTTTTCTTGGGGCTTGGTATGGACCAGTTCATTATTGGATGCATCGTAGACCAGATCAATAATCCTTGTTTTTCAAGTAGTACTCTTGAGCCCCAGATGTTTGCCTACATCCAGTGTTAAGGTTTGATACTTCTTTTACCACCCCACATACGGACTGTGTGTATGGGCAAGGGCCAGTCTTAGTGTTGGCAGCAGGGTGTCTCAGGTCACATTTTTGTTTCCTATGGTGGGCTTTCTCTTGCTTCTGGTTTTACGGTGCTTGTGAAATTGGAAATTTGAACTGGAAACACACGGTGTATCTCTGAGCAGGATGGTTTCCAGGAGTCAAAGAATGAAACTATGGGCAAAAGATGGTATAACAAAGGTGGAAATTTATTGAGAAACAAGCACATATTCCCACATGGGGAGGGGGAAAGAGTTTTACTGAGTTCATTTTTCCACAGTTTATAAAGGCTGCAGGTTGTTTTTGTGCCTCAATATCCCCTCTGATTGGTCAATATCCCCCTTTGATTTGGTCACTATAGCCACTCCTGAGCTCAAGTCTCACATGAAGTAGGTGAGGTTTCCTCCTTCTCCCTTATTGTTCTACTAGAGACTTGGTGCACGAAATTTGTGCATAGGGGTAGGTAGTGTCCCTTAGCCCAGCCTGCATCCTCTCCAATCTGGGACCCCTCTCATAATCCAGGACTGCTGGCTTCCAGCCACTCGCCTGCCTGCCTGGTTGTCCCTAACTGCTTCTGCCTGCCAGCCTAATCACCCCTAACCACTTCCCTGCCTGCCTGATTGATGCTCCCCTGCTGGCCCAATTTTCCCCTCTGCCTTCCCCTGAAGTCCTGGTCACCCCTCAGTTGCCCTTGCCTGCTGACCATCTTGCACCCACATGTGTGTTGGAATGATGATCAATTTGCGTATTTACCTCTTTATTATATAGTATTCTCCCTGGGCTTTCTTCCTCCCTCTGTTTTGTAAATGTGTACCTTTTGCTACCCCCAGATCCCTTATCTTATGGAAATGTAACTTCTGTGGCTCCTAGCTCCCTTGTCTTATGGAAATGTACCCTTTACATCTCTGTGGCCCTGTGTTTTCCATGGACCCCTTAATTCCTAAAATTTCCTAAACCTGCCTATTCCACCTCTAAAAACTCCTTTCAGCCGAAACCCGTTTGGCTCAGTGGTAGAGCGTCGGTCTGCGGAATGAAAAGTCCCAGGTTCGATTCCGGTCAGGGGCATGTACGTTGGTTGCGGGCACATCCCCGGTACGGGGTGTGCAGGAGGCAGCTGGTCAGTGTTTCTCTCTCATCGATGCTCTCTATCTCTCTCCCTTCCTCTCTGTAAAAAATCAATAAAAATATTAAAAATAAATAAATAAATACGCCTTTCACTTGTACCAGTTATCCCCCCAAATGCCCATGATTTGGCACTGGCTGGAAAGAGTCTGCCTCCAGTTTTTATTAAATCAGCATTATCAAGGTATAACTTGTACCCAGTCTTTTTTTGTAGATTATGGACCACTAATTTTTGTATAATCAAATAAAGCTAATTTTTAAAGTAGGTATAAAATTGGCAGGTCTGAGTGTAAAAATGTATCATTATTTAAATGAAAGACTTTGTCTCTTCCTCTCACCCTTTCAATGAAATCAAATGTCAGATACAGGCAAGATTCTGCCCTTAATCTCACCCATCTTCTTCCTTTGCCAAATGTAAATGCTATCCTGTAGTTGGTGTGTGTTATTCCCAAATATATTTTGTACTTTTTCCACATAGTATGTATATTTCCATAAATAATATGTGCTATTGTTTAGTGCTTTAAAAACAATATTAATATCACATTGTACATATGGTTTGCAATAATTTCACTTAACATGTTTTTTATGCCCCCAACTTTATATTTTAAATTTCAAAAGCCTAGACTTTTATTTATTTACTAGAGACCTGGTACATGAAAATTCATGCACTGTGGAGGTGAGGGCGCAATAATGGTTAACATAGCATGATTAATATTTCCCGTAACCAAAGCTAGTCTCCAATATTCTATCTTTGCTCTTACAAACAGACTTTAAAGCAAGGTTCAGTGTGCTTCCTCTGCAGAGACAGCACCACTGTTATGGGGGGCAGGATCTGACCATGGGGGGCCGCTCAGGCCTGCCTCCACCTGGGTCTGGAGTTGTAGGGAGGAGAGGTGTGTCTGACCCCAGCTGAGGGGGCCCAACAGCGACAGGCTGTGGGCTCTGGGTGTCCTGGAGGTGCTGACAGGTTGTCACTGGTGCTATTCTTTGGGCAACCCTGGCAGGGATTGATAGGGGGTGGGGGGAGGGTCAAGAGTTGGAGGTGTGGGTCTTCTCCCCA